AGATAAAAGCGTAGCCAGACTGTGGAACTCCCTGCCACAAGAGCCAGGGATGGCCACCGATTTGGGTGGCTTCCAGAGAGGACTGGGCAAATTCATGGAGGAGGAAAAGTATGGCGTGCCTCCGTATATAAGCTGCCGTAAGAGCGCTCCGCTTTTGAGACGAAAGCCACCCTCTTTAAATCGTTACACTCATGAGGACTAGGAACGTGAAATAAAAAGAAAGCTCCGAGATTCTCAGGAAGCTTACTGCCACACTCATTCGACAGTCACCTCCATGGGATACAGTTAAAGCCCTTGATTTCCCCCCCAAAAGGAAGGAAATAAGCAACTATCTGACTTTTAGAAGACATCTGAAGGCAGCCCCGTTGAGGGAAATTTTCAGTGTTTGATATTTTGTCGCCTTTTTATTGTTGCTGTTGGTATTCTGCTGAGAGCCGCCAAGGGTGGCTGGGGGAACCCAACCAGATGGACGGGGTATAAAATTATTATTATTATTATTATTATTATTATTATTATTATTATTATTATTATTATTGGTTCCCAGCACCCTTAGCAAACTACACTTAACAGTATTCTGGCTGAGGGTCATGGTGCCACGGGCTTTGAATCTATGGCATGGATGCCACCATCTCGGGACCCACCCAGTGACCCCGTCCGTGGCAAAACGCTCGCCGTAGAATTATAGAACCGTCGAGCTGGGACCCCCAAAGGTCCTCTAGACCAACCCCCGCAATGCGGGGAATCTCGGCTGAAGCAGCCAAGACCACCCAACCTCTGCTTAAAAAACTTCCAATGTGGTTTCCCTCGCTCTTGTAAACAAGATCTGCCCCGCTTCCTGGATACCAAAGGGGTCTTCTCCATTCTCGGCTGCCTTACCAACACCGCTTTGGGGGGTGACTCCTTTCTGGTGGCAGCTGGGCTCCCCGTCCCGAGAAAGCTCAGTGACCCTCGCCTCGTCCTCTTCTTCTTCTTTCCAGATGATGGAAGCGATGGTCTGCCGGGCGTCGGTTTTATACTGTCGCCATTCATATGACCAGCACGTGAAAAGCCCGAGTCGGACAGGGCTTGGAAGTGGGAAGCGAAAATCGACTTAAGAGGACTTAATTGCGGCGGGGCGGGGGCTCCGTGCTGATGCTGGGTCCCATGACCAAGCTAAAAGCGGTCTCATGACTGCCTTATACCAGACCTAACTTCTCAAAGGGCCTATTCTTCTCCTCCGTGACCTTCCGCTCAGCTGGGCAACTTATCCATCAAGCGAGGGCCGTTGATCCTCTTAGAGCAGGAACACAGGGACCTGAATACCACCACCCCCCAGATGCTTTTGGATTCCCAGCTCCCAAAAGCGCTGGTCAGCATGCCCAGTGGTCAGAGATGACGGGGGGAGTGTGTGTGTGTGAGGCCCACAACTTGAGGAGAGTTGCAAGGTTCTCCATTGTTATATAGACCAGGACACATTCGCAGGGAAACCTAAATGTTTGTTTACGAAGCCATTGCACTACCAACCTTACTCTATGCTTGTGAAACGTGGACCACTTATAAACGCCATCTCCAACTCCTCGAAAGATTCCATCAACGGGGTCTCCGAAAATTTATACACATCACCTGGGAAGACAGGCGAACTAAGGCCAGCGTACTGGAAGAAGCAAAGATCACCAGTGTCGAAGCGATGATTCTTCGACATCAACTTCGTTGGACTGGTCATGTTGTGCGGATGCCTGATGATCGTCTTCCAAAGCAACTCCTCTATTTCGAACTTAAAAATGGAAAGCGTAATGCTGGTGGTCAACAAAAGAGGTTCAAAGACTCTCTCAAGGCAAGTCTTTAAAAAATGTAGTATAAACACCAACAATTGGGAAACACTGGCCTGCGAGCGCTCCAGTTGGAGAGCAGCCTTTACCAAAGGTGTTGTGGGATTTGAAGACACTCGAACTCAGGACGCAAGGGAGAAACGTGCTAAGAGGAAGGCACGCTTGGCAAACCCTCACCGGAATCAACTCCCGCCTGGAAACCTATGTCCCCACTGTGGAAGGACGTGGGGATCCAGAATTGGCCTCCACAGTCCCTTATGGACTCATTGTTAAAACTGTGTTTATGGAAGACAATCTGACTCGGCTACAAGGGATTGCCAAAGAAGAAGCAGCTATATACTGCTAGGTCTTTGGCCGGCCATTTCTTAAGCCACAGAACAGAGTAGCCTAAGGCAGGGAGTTCCACCGGTTCACTGCTACGCACAAAGGCAGGCTTGGTTTTGGCCAACCCTCGAATCCATACCCTCCCAACATTTCTCCAGTGAAAATAGGGATGTCTTATTGCATCATTATTTTAATATTTATACCCCGCCCATCTGACTGGATTGCCCCAACCACTCTGGGCGGATTCCAACATATATAAATTCATCAACAAAAATTCCCTAGAAAGGGCTGCCTTCAGATGTCTTCTAAAGGCTGTACAGTTACTTATCTCCTTGACTCACTAACCTGCAACATTTCTGCGATGAAAAAGGGGGGCTGATGGTTTAGGCATACAGTGGTACCTCGGGTTAAGAACTTAATTCGTTCCGGAGGTCCGTTCTTAACCTGAAACTGTTCTTAACCTGAAGCACCACTTTAGCTAATGGTGCCTCCTGCTGCCGCCACGCTGCCAGAGCACGATTTCTGTTCTCATCCTGAAGCAAAGTTCTTAACCCGAGGTACTATTTCTTGGTTAGCGGAGTCTGTAACCTGAAGGTACCACTGTATTCAATTATGGCGAAGTTATCCACAGCCCTGTTTTTTAAAATGAGATTCTCCAAAGGGACAGAACGATGGCACCCCTGGGGTTTCCTGCCATGTGAAAGCTATTTTTATATTTATATATTGGAAGCTTTTAGAAGGCACCTACCTGTTTCGGGAAGTTTTTTTAATATCGGATGTTTTATTGTCTTTTTAATATTCTGTTGGGAGCCGCTCAGAGCTGCTGGGGCAAACGAGTCATATGGGCAGAGTAAAGGTAAAAGGGACCCCTGAGCGTTAGGTCCAGTCGCGGACGACTCTGGGGTTGCGGCGCTCATCTCGCTTTACTGGCCGAGGGAGCCGGCGTACAGCTTCCGGGTCATGTGGCCAGCAGGACTAAGCCACTTCTGGCGAACAAGAGCAGTGCACAGAAACACCGTTTACCTTCCCGCTGGAGTGGTACCTATTTATCTACTTGCACTTTGATGTGCTTTGGAACTGCTAGGTTGGCAGGAGCAGGGACTGAGCAACGGGAGCTCACCCCGTTGCAGGGATTCGAACCACCAACCTTCCAATCGGCAAGCCCTAGGCTCTGTGCACCACCCGTGTCCCATATATGGGCAGAGTACAACCAAATACTGTAATTTATTATTATTATTATTATTAGGAAAGGCAACACCCCCCACTATTACTCGGCCCTCTCCAATTTCCTGCAAACTTCAGACACACAACAGATCCCCTCCTGCCTCTCTCTCCACCAGGAAGTTGACAGCTCTTAAGAGGAGATAGAGATAGATATATATTTGGCACAAACAAACAGTTTTTTCTCATAGGATTAAGTCCGCCCCAGGCTGTTCCAGCCGCTTTGCTAATCGGAGGCTGCTGGGGACAACCGCGTGCCACTGAAGGGGAGGACCGACCCGCAAAATTGGCCTCCTCCTCCGGTCAGATTTTGCAGGGGCGGTTTTGAAAATAAATCTAGGCTTATGGGGGGGGCTGGGAAATGGCCGTACCCCCCCCCGATCCCTCTCTTCCTTCTCCCCATCGATCATGCTTTTTTAACATCTATATGAAGCCGCTGGGAGAGATCAACAGGGGGTTTGGGCTGGGTGTCCATCAATATGCGGATGATACCCAGCTCTACCTCTCTTTTAAATCAGAACCAGTGAAGGCGGTGAAGGTCCTGTGTGAGTGTCTGTAGGTGGTTGGAGGAAGGATGGCGGCTAATGGATTGAGGTTGAATCCTGACAAGACAGAAGGACTGTTTTTGGGGGACGGGGAGGGCGGGCGTGGAGGTTTCCCTGGTCCTGAATGGGGTGACTGTGCCCCCGAAGGACCAGGTGCGCAGCCTGGGAGTCATTTTGGACTCATTGCTGTCCATGGAGGCACAGGTCAGTTCTGTGTCCAGGGCAGCTCCATCTGGTACGCAGGATGAGACCCTCCCTGCCCGCAGACTGTCTGGCCAGAGTGGTGCATGCTCTGGTTATCTCCCGCTTGGACTACTGCCATGCGCTCTCCATGGGGCTCCCTTTTAAGGTGACGCGGAAACTGCAACTAATCCAGAATGCGGCAGCTAGACTGGTGACCAGGAGCGGCTACTGAGACCATATAACACCGGTCTTGAAAGACCTGCACTGGCTCCCAGTACGTTTCCGAGCACAATTCAAAGTGTTGGTGCTGACCTTGAAAGCCCTAAATGGCCCAGTAGGCCTAAAGGAGAGTCTCCACCCCCATCGTCCACCCCGGACACCAGGGTCCATCTCCCGAGGGCCATCTGGCAGTTCCCTCCCTGCGAGAAGTGAGGTTGCAGGGAACCAGGCAGAGGGCCTTCTTGGTGGTGGCGCCCTCCCATCAGATGTCAAGGAAATAAACAACTATCTGGCTTTTTGAAGACATCTGACGGCAGCCCTGTTTAGGGAAGTTTTTAATGGTTGATGTTTTAATATGCATTTGTATATGCTAGAAGCCGCCCAGATTGCCTGGGGAAACCCAGCCAGATGGACAGAGTACGAAGAATAAAATTATCATTATAAACCGCGTACAGCAGAAATCGTGCACGTTTAGACGCGGTTCTCTTGCAGGTGAGTTTCTTAGCAACATCTCCTTGCAAGGAACCGGCAAGCGACTCTCCTAGACCCAATCCATCACAGAAGATGTAGCGAAGCGTGTTACGAGATGGTGCAGATCTTACAGGAGAGAGGAATGTGGATTTTTCCCCCGGTACCCCAACACACCCAGTTCCAGCCGTTCCCCGCAAGACACACCCAACAACATTTCTCGGGAGACAAATCTGGGTCTTCCAAACTTTTATTCCTCTTTGTTTCAAAAACGAACGGGTGGGAGGCTTTCCCCAAACTCCCTCTCCTCCCCCCTCCCCGAATACACACACACACGAAAAAGATTCCCTGCGTTACTTGGAATTAAATGAATTCTGGCTCAAACACATGGGGGGTATCCGGATACGGCGGGGATATTCAAACAATAGGATCCGGGAGTTTGTGGACGGAACAGGCAAGCTGTCTCTCTGACTCCCGCCAACCCGCTTAATCCTGGCCTGTGGAGATCAGACAGCTTGTACTCCACAACCAGGGTCTTCGCTCCGGCGTGTCCTGGCGAAAACCCCATCCGCCGCAGCGCAGGAGAATCTGTAATGGAGGTCCTCCGGCCTCTAGGTGGTGCTGTGCAACGGGCGGCGGAGGCAGAGCAGACCGTTTTGGCCGTCATGCATTTTGGCGCCCCACCCCACCCTGTATCTCCGGGGCAGAGCCAGGGTTATCCCGCCCCACCTTCCCCCTTCCCCCAAGGCTTATTGCTATCTCTGGGACGCGCCGAGAGTTACGAAAAGAAGGATCCGAGAAAATGGGATGTCGTGGTGGCAGCGTAGTCTCGACGGAGGCGTCGTCGGCGTATTTTTTGTAAAAAAAGGACAGCGATGTGCGGAAACGGCTAGTCTGCTGGCGCAGAGAGGGGCGGCTCGGCGCATTGCCGGGGCGGGAGGCGTCGACATCAGAGATGGCAGCGGGGGGAGAGCGAGCGGCTCCCGGTGTCGGAGGGAATGCCCCCAAGAGACCCGAGACTGGCGCCCCTCTGTAACGGAGGACTCCTCTCCCGCTTCGGTGGGCAGGGGACTGGCGCATGTAACAGCGCCCTAAAGCCGCGAGCCCCTCGCCATCCTCCGAACCGAGGTGCGCGCAGCCGCGGCCGGAGGAGAGGGCGAGAAACGAGACGGGCGGTTGTCAGTTGTTCTGGCCGGCCAGGTCGTGCGAAATGAACTTGCGCAGGCGCTCCAGGTACTGGCTGTAGAGTTCGATGTCGTTGTGGCCGGCGCCCTCGACCCACAGCGGCTCGACGGCCTTCGGGCAGCGCTCGTATAGGGCCAAGCCGTGGGAGAAGTCAATGACCTCGTCCTCAGTGCCGTGGATGAAGAGGACCGGGGAGGTGATCCGAGAAACTTTGTCGATGCTGCGGAAGAGGAAAAGAACATGAGTTATTGGCCTGCTTCGCCCCGTAACATTAACCATGGTTTTTTTAAACCACGGTGGGGGTTTTGTGAACCATGGTTATTTAAACCATGGTGGTGAGTTTTTTGGTGTTTTTTTGGAACCATGGTTATTTAAATAACCATGGTTATTTAAACCATGGTGGGTTATTTTAAACCATGGCTTTAAACCATATGGTTTTTTTAAACCATGGCTTTTTAAACCACAGTTTTCTTAAACTGAATTCCAGATGAAACAAGGCCCTGATTATTACTATTTTTTTAAATCTTTCCCCCCACGAACCTGCCCAGGTTTTGTGATCTACAGAGGAGGCCACTGAAACTCCCGCCAGCTACACAGGCAAACTTGGTGAGATTGCTGGACAGGGCCTTCTCAGTGTTGGCTCCTCCCAGACTTTGCAGCTCCCTCCCTAGAGAAGCCAGACTGGCTCCCTCCTTGTCGTCCTTCCACCCAGCAGGCTTTCGGGTACTGGCTCCTTTTAAAGAGTGCTCTTTTAACTATTCCTATTTCAACACATCTGGGGTTTTTTTGTTTTTTACGCTTTTAAAAATTCTATTAAAGTTTAATGACTTTTTAACCATTTTCAGGACGCGGGTGGCACTGTGGGGTAAAGCACACAGCTTAGGACTTGCCGATCAGAAGGTCAGCGGTTCGAATCCCCGCAATGACGGGGTGAGCTCCCATTGCTCGGTCCCTGCTTCTGCCAACCTAGCAGTTTGAAAGCACCTCAAAGTGCAAGTAGATAAATAGATACCGCTCCGGCGGGAAGGTAAACGGCGTTTCCGTGCGCTGCTCTGGTTCGCCAGAAGCGGCTTAGTCCTGCTGGCCACAGGACCCGGAAGCTGTACGCTGGCTCCCTTGGCCAGTAAAGCGAGATGAGCGCCGCAACCCCAGAGTCGGCCACGACTGGACCTAATGGTCAGGGGTCCCTTTACCTTTAACCATTTTCAACCTAGGTCTGTTGTTCTAATTTGATTCATCTTGGTCTGGACTGCGAGCGTGATGTCCGGTGATGGACAGGCCCCATTGCCCCGCCCTCCTTCCTAATTTGGCAGCAGATGGAAGCACCCGACCCAAAATGCCACACACAGACCCACTTGGCAGCCTTACTTGGGGAAAGCGTCGAAACAGTAGGTCTTCTTGGTTTCCGGGAAGGCGACGCGCATCCCCGAAGTGAGCGGCGAGTGCAGGATCACAGCCGCACACTCGTAGCGAGACGCCAGATCGACAGTGGGCACCGTCCCGATGCTCTGTCCGTACAAGATGATGTTCTCGGGACTGATCCCATATCTGGAAGGCAGGCAAGGAAGGAGGGAGGGAGAGAGAGCAAAGCCAACTTCAGTTTCAACAATAATAATTATAATTATGGATGGCGGCTAACGGATTGAGGTTAAATCCTGACAAGACAGAAGTTCTGTTCTTGGGGGACAGGGGGAGGGCAGGTGTGGAGGACTCCCTGGTCCTGAATGGGGTCACTGTGCCCCCGAAGGACCAGGTGCGCAGCCTGGGGGTCATTTTGGACTCACAGCTGTCCATGGAGGCGCAGGTCAGTTCTGTGTCCAGGGGAGCTCCACCTGGTACGCAGGATGAGACCCTTCCCTGCCCGCAGACTGTATGACCAGAGTGGTGCATGCTCTGGTTATTATCTCCCGCTTGGACTACTGCCATGCGCTCTATGTGGGGCTACCTTTGAAGGTGACCTGGAAACCACAAATAATCCAGAATGCGGCAGCCAGACTGGGGACTGGGAGCAGCCGCCGGAGACCACATAAGACCAGTCCTGAATGACCTACATTGGCTCCCAGGACGTTTCTGAGCACAATTCAAAGTGCTGGCACTGACCTTGAAAGCCCTAAACGGCCCAGTATCCCTGAAGGAGCATCTCCGCCCCCATTCGTTCAGCCCGGACACTGAGGTCCAGCTCCGAGGGCCTTCTGGTGGTTTCCTCCCTGCGAGAAGTGAGATTACAGGGAACCAGGCACAGGGCCTTCTCGGTGGTGGCCCCCCCTATGGAAAGCCCTCCCTTCAGATGCCAAGGAGATAAAGAACTGCACAACTGTAAGAAGACATCTTAAGGCAACCCTGCAACTGGAAGTTTTTAATGTTTGATGTTTTAACATATGCTGTAAGCCACCAGATGGACAGGCTATAATAATGATAATATACAGAAACATAATAAAACATCAAAACATTAAAAGCTTCCCTAAACAGGGCTGCCTTCAGATGTCTTCTAAAAGTGAGATCGTTATTTATTTCCTTAACATCTGATGGGAAATGCCTGCTACAGTGGTACCTATTTATCTACTTGCACCGGTGTGCTTTCAAACTGCTAGGTTGGCAGGAGCTGGGGCAGAGCAACGGGAGCTCACCCCGTCATTGCGGGGATTTGAACCGCCGACCTTCCGATCGGCAAGCCCAAGAGGCTCCGTGGTTTAGACCACTGAAGAATGGCGAGCGAACAACTGACTTAAACAGGGCACCCTCGCTCCCACGCTCACCGGGTGCGCAGCGCTTGCCAGGCGGCGTCGACGTCGGCGTACAGATTCTTCTCGGAGGGCTTCCCCGTGCTGACGCCGTACCCCGAGTAGTCGTAGGAGAAGATGTTGCAGCTGATGCGAGTGCCCAGGCTGATGTAGAAGCTGCACATCTGGCCCAGGTCCACAGCGTTGCCGTGCGAGAACAGGACCGTGAACCTGAAAGGGAAGGAGAGTTGGAAGGGAATGTCTTTTGGGTGCACGGCCGGATTTTGGTTGGATGAGGCCCTCAGCTCCTGAAGGTCATGGGGCCCTTTTTATGTCCAGCTGTCCTTTGCCAACAACAAATGGTCGCTGTTTTTTTGTGTTGAATAGATGCTGTATAGGGAATGCGGGTGGCGCTGTGGGTTAAACCACAGAGCCTAGGACTTGCCGATCAGAAGGTCGGCAGTTCGAATCCCCACGACGGGGTGAGCTCCCGTTGCTCGGTCCCTGCTCCTGCCAACCTAGCAGTTAAAAGCACGTCAAAGTGCAAGTAGATAAATAGGTACCACTCCAGCGGGAAGGTAAACGGCGTTTCCGTGCGCTGCTCTGGTTCGCCAGAAGCGGCTCAGTCCTGCTGGCCACATGAACCGGAAGCTGTATGCTGGCTCCCTTGGCCAGTAAAGCGAGATGAGCGCCGCAACCCCAGAGTCGGGCACGCCTGGACCTAATGGTCAGGGGTCCCTTTACCTTTACCTAGATGCTGTATGGTCATTTATGGACATAATGGGTATCTCAAGCCATTTGCCCATGTTGCCCTGCAACCAGTCCATGCAGAATGTAGGCATCCTATATATAAAAGGTAAAGGTAAAGGGACCCCTGACCATTAGGTCCAGTCGTGACCAAATCTGGGGTTGCGGCACTCATCTCTCTTTATTGGCCGAGGGAGCCGGCGTACAGCTTCCGGGTCATGTGGCCAGCAGGACTAAGCCGCTTCTGGCGAACGAGAGCAGCGCACAGAAACGCCGTTGACCTTCCCGCTGGAGCGGTACCTATTTATCTACTTGCACTTTGAGTGATTTCGAGCTGCTAGGTTGGCAGGAGCAGGGACCGAGCAACGGGAGCTCACACCGTCGTGGGGATTCGAACTGCCAACCTTCGGATCGGCAAGTCCTAGGCTCTGTGGTTTAACCCAGAGCACCACCCGCGCCCCACCCTATATATAGAAATGAGCAAAGCAGTGATATTTTAGGGAGCAGGCGGGGCCCATGACTTACATCACAGGAGCCTACACAACGCAAAACACTGTTGCTGGATGTAGGTTTTTCCCCCCTTTGTTTTCTATCTTATATTTTGGAAATGTACATCCAGTTTTCCCCCTTTATATTTTTTTGGGGGCCCCCAAGAGAATGGGGCCCTAAGCTATAACGTCTTTAGCTTATACGTAAATCCGGCACTGAGGACAGATGACAACATTTTTGAGGCGCTTTCTCCCCCAAAAAGCAAGCCCAATAACTTTTTTTGGGGGGCGGGGCCCACCAAAATTCCTGGTGCGGCCGCAATAGGCGAAGTGGAAAGCTCTCTATAAACTCATTTCCGTTGTAAAAATAGCGTTTCCTTCCACTGTAAATCTATGTCCCGGAGTTTAAAATCAGCAGCTGCCCATTGACCATCACAGCCCGTCTTAAAACAGTTTTATTTCGCGGCAGGCCTGGTGATATGCAGGTCTTTTGTTAAGCAAGGAGGTCTCTTATTTTTAACAGTTTGCAGCAAACCCGTTTGCAGCAAACCGGATGAACGGATCCTGGTATCCGTTGCAAAGCGGACAGGAAATTCCAAACCGGGGAAACGCCCTCATCCACAGCGGAAACAGCTGTGGCGCTAACATCTGTCTTATTGCTCCTTCCTGGCCGCCGCCCTCACTTCTTCTCCCCAGCAGGCAGACAGTGGCCAAGCTGGCAAAATCTCCGCTGAGACCCAGGTTACGGCAATCGCCCCATACAGCAACACTGCCTCCCTTCTGCGGCTCCCAACAGAATATTAAAAACACGATCAAACATTGAAAACTTCCCTAAACAGGCTGCCTTCAGATGTCTTCTGAAAGTCAGAAAGTTGTTTATTTCCTTGACATCTGATGGGAGGGTGCCACCACTGAGAAGGCCCTCTGCCTGGTTCCCTGTAACCTCACTAGGTCAGGTGGAAAGGCAGCGGCGGGCCCAAAGTCACATCCAGTGAGCTTCAGGGCCAAGGGGAGATTTGAACCCGGGTCTCTCAGTTCCCAGTAAGTCACTCTAACCCCTAAACCATACTGGCTCTCTGATTTTCCGATCAGCCACTTTGGGCGGTCTCCAGTACATATAAAAACAGAATAGAACTTCAAACATTAAAAGCTTCCCTAAACAGGGTTGCCTTCAGATGTCTTCTGAAAGTCAGGTAGTTGTTTATTTCCTTGACATCTGATGGGAGGGCGCCACCACCGAGAAGGCCCTCTGCCTGGTTCCCTGTAACCTCGCTTCTCGCAGGGAGGGAATTGCCAGAAGACCACCGGGGGTGGGGGGGAGGAAAAAGCAGAGGGGGCGTAGAGGGCCTTCTCGGTGGTGGCGCCCTCCCTGTGGAACGCCCTCCTGTCGGATGTCAAGGCAATAAGCAACCATCTTACTTTTAGAAGACATCTGAAGGCAGCCCTGTTTAGGGAAGTTTTTAATGTTTAATGCTGTATTGTGTTTTTAATATTCAGTTGGGAGCCGCCCAGAGTGGCTGGGGAGGCCTGGCCAGATGGGCGGGGTGTAAATAATAAAATTATTATAAGAATATTTAGAAAGCACAATGAGGTGATTCGGAAGTCAAAAATATGTGTGATGTTAGATCACGGGAAGGCAAACTAAGACCTGGGGGCCGGATCCGGCCCAATCGCCTTCTCAATCCGGCCCGCGGACAGTCCAGGAATCAGCGTGTTTTGACATGAGTAGAATGTGTCCTTTTATTTCAAATGCATCTCTGGGTTATTTGTGGGGCAGAGGAAATTGTTCATTTCCCCCCAAAAAAATATAGTCCGGCCCCCCACAAGGTCTGAGGGACAGGGGACCAGCCCCCTGCTGGAAAAGTTTGCTGACCCCTGCGTTAGATGATGTGCAGCCAATTAATGTTTAGTCAAATTAATGGTTGCCATTAATTTGATTTAAAACTGACTTTATAATGAATCGATTTTAGAATGCTGTTATTATTTTACTGTTGTTAGCCGCTCTGAGCCCAGCTTCGGCTGGGGAGGGCGGGATATAAATAAAATTTTATTTATTACAGTGGTACCTCAGGTTAAGTACTTAATTCGTTCCGGAGGTCCGTTCTGAACCTGGAACTGTTCTTAACCTGAAGCACCACTTTAGCTAATGGGGCCTCCTGCTGCCACCGCGCAATTTCTGTTCTCATCCTGAAGCAAAGTTCTTAACCCGAGGTACTATTTCTGGGTTAGCGGAGTGTGTAACCTGAAGCGTATGTAACCCGAGGTACCACTGTATTATTATTAGTTGTCATTGCGGTATTGTTTTCGTCTGCATGCGTTGTCTGTTTTGCAATGAAGATAATAAGAACAGCAGAAAGACGGAAAGGTGCCAAACAAATTACCATATTTTTTGCTCTATAGGACTCACTTTTTCCCCTCCTAAAAAGTAAGGGGAAATGTGTGTGCATCTTATGGAGCGGATGCAGGCTGCGCAGCTATCCCAGAAGCCAGAACAGCAAGAGGGATCGCTGCTTTCGCTGCGCAGCGATCCCTCTTGCTGTTCTGGCTTCTGAGATTCGGAATATTTTGTTTCTTGTTTTCCTCCTCCAAAAACTAGGTGCGTCTTATGGTCTGGTGCGTCTTATAAAGCGGAAAATACGGTAAAAGCGAAACAGGGTGGAATAAACGCAGCCCGAAACCGTCTCACCTGGCGCCAGGTACGCAACGGACGTACATGCACCCCACGCGGTTCCCACGGCTGCTCTTGGTCAGAAACACCTCAATGGTGTCCAGTTCCCGCTGGGCGTACTGGAAATCCGCTCGGTCGCCCAGGTGCAGCTTCCAGCGGGTCATGGCTCCTCCTCGGGGGGAGGCGCTGCCGGGCCCCCCCGCAACGGGATCCGGTTCGGGGACGATGGTGTACGTCGGCTCGGGGGGCAGGAAGGCCAGTTTGGCGGCGATGCGCCCGGGGCAGGGCGGGCAACAGAAAAGGCAACAGAGTTCGCTGACCGTCAGGCCGTTCATGGTAGCCGGTGGGGCAGGAATATGGGGTTATTTTTTTGGGGGGGGACACCTGCAGAAGTCCTGGGCCGGAGGAAAGAAGCGAAGCTAAGGGCGCTTAGGGAAATGTTTTAGCTTCCCGCTGGACGGAGGAAGCCTTTATGACATGTCCACTCCGAAGAACTATGAGAGGGTTCTCCCGCATTCCGGCGTAGAGCGGCTGCGTTCCAATGTCTCCTGGGTGAGCATCCGTTTCCCTCTGCAGAGTCCTAAAAATAAAAAGAGAGAGTGGATTAAATTTAATGATTATCTAGTTAAATTTGTTAGGGACGCGGGTGGCGCTGTGGGTTAAACCACAGAGCCTAGGACTTGCCGATCAGAAGGTCAGCGGTTCGAATCCCCGCAATGACGGGGTGAGCTCCCATTGCTCGGTCCCTGCTCCTGCCAACCTAGCAGTTCGGAAGCATGTCAAAGTAGATAAATAGGTACCACTACGGCAGGACCGTAAACGGCATTTCCGTGCGCTGCTCTGGTTCGCCAGAAGCGGCTTAGTCCTGCTGGCCACATGACCCGGAAGATGACCCGGAACGGATTAAGTTTGAGAACCTTCTTCTTTTTCGGCGATCCCTCCTAGCCGAGTAAGACTGTCTTCCATAAACACGGTTTCAACAATGAGTCCGTAACTGACGGTGGAGGCCAATTCTGGATCCACGCATCCTTCCACAGTGGCGACATTGGTTTCCGGGCAGGAAACCAAATCTTTGAGAACCAAGGTACCACTGTATATAGATATATTCACAGACGTTTTCCGCAGTCCAGGGCAGTCCAGGGCAGAGGCCGCCAAGCCAACTCCCTTAACTACAAATTTATTAATATATATAAATATTAATAAATCATCACTGCAGAGCCATCTGTGGATTGGACAAGGTTTTTTCTTTCTTTCCATAGCACAACCCTGTCGAACGGTGTGCTATGGAAAAACAATAATGACATCATCGGCCGCTGGCTGCCTTCTAAACACACACCGTTAAGTATTCAACTCTGCCAGATGTATCTCTGGGAGGGAGGTGGGGCACGCAACTCAGGAGGGAAGGGGCCTGACTTCAGAGTAAACAGGTAAAGTTGCAGACACCCGGACTGCTCTACTGTGTGTGTGCGCGCGCTCTGGAAAGGGTCAAAGTTTGCAAAACAAACCCCCCCCCCAAATACACACGCAAATGGAGAGAACGCAAACAGTTCCCAACTAGGTTCTCCTCCTAATCCTCGGAGACCTATTGAAATCAATGGACCTTTCGGTGGGTTTACCAGCGCTGAGGCATCTGGTAGACGTACCGCCTAACATGTTGGTGGTTTTGCAAAAAAAAAAAGGGTGAGGGGCGTTGAGAACATTTAAGAAGGCGACCTCCCGGGTTCAGTCTTGAAGCCCCTGGACAGCTGCTGCCAGCCAGTTCCGGCAATACTGAGGGATTGGGGCCCACTGCACAAGGCAGCTTCTCGGCTTAAATCTACCCTTAGCCCTGATCCTTGAGGACTGGCATCTTGTTCTTGCATCCAGGAAGGGCTGGTGGGGTGGAAAGAGGGAGCCCGTTCCTTGCCCGAAACCCCGGGGAGCCGCTGCCGGTCCGCGCCGGCAACAGCGCGCTCGGTGGAGCCGCCGGGCCGGCTCGCGAGGAGGTCCCTCAAGGCAGCGCACCTCGGGGGAGAAGGGAGGCCCGAAGGCGCACGGATAATCTCCACTCCTCGGGGAGGGAGGCGCGCGCAAAGCGAAAGGAAAGTCAACCCGGATCGGGCTCGCAGCCACGGGCTCCCCTCCCTGCACCCTCCCGTCTCTATCCGCCGCGGGATCCTAAGGACAAGTGACGCCCCCTCCGCCCCCCGCCTCGCCCGGATAATCACCCTCGCCGCCGCGCGTCCCTCTCCAAGTCCCGACGGGGGTCTCTCCAAAGCGCGCTTTGGCGCACGGCAGCTGGCGTCTCTTGTGCGTCTCTCTCTCTCTCTCTCCTCCGTCTGGCTGGCTTCCTCCCTCCTCTCCCGGCAGCAGCTGCTCGGATCTAGCCGCCCAGCACCGGCCAGGCCCCGATCCGCCGCCTCCGGGCCCCCGCCCGGGCGCTGCAACCGGCCCCCGCCGCGCTCCGCATTACGCGCCCGGGGCCTGGAACTTGGAGACGCGGCTGGCGCTGGCTCGCTGCTCGTCTGCGCCTCCCCTTCGGCGCCTCCTGCTCCTCCTCCCGAGGAGGCGGATGTGACAGCAGCGACAGCCGCACTGGAAATGACGACGGGGCGGCAGAGGAGGAGCCGGAGGTGGAGCGAGGTCTCCTCCGCCCGGCACGGGAGAAAAAGGTTGCCACGCTGGGGAAAGGCTTCGCCAAGCGCCGCGCTGCGCAAGGGGTGGCCCGATGCGTCTCTTCATGTGTCATTTTCTCGCGGGGAAAGGCCCAAGAGACACCCCCCCCGGGTTTCGCTTGCAGAGGGGCATCCCTAGGAACGACTGTTTGCGTGACTCTCTGCAGAGCCGCTGCGTGTGGCCAGTGCTATGTGGACAGTTGCCTGACTCAGTATAAATGTGTATCTCTGTATGAGTCCCTGTTCTTTTCTTAGTTACTCCCCATTATCCTGGACAGGGGGGCGACGGTTCATCCCAGACACTCGAAGTGTCCCTGTTTTCCAGGAAGAGTCCCGGATTTACTGAAACCACCCCTGTTTCTGATTTGATCCCCGAATATCCTGCTTATCCTATTTTCTTTTGGGAAACGTTGGAGGGTATGGAGTTATGCCACCCCAGTGGCGTAGCGTGGGTTGTCAGCACCCGGGGCAAGGCAAGTAATTTGCGCCCCCTAACCTGTGGGGGTAGGGGGCGCAGGTAGGGGCAGAGAGCTGTGAGTGCAAGCGCGCCCCCCCCAGATGTTGCGCCCAGTGCGGCTGGCCCCCCCCTGCATCCCCCACGCTACACCACTGTGCCACCCCCACCCTGAGCCAAGGAAAAAACTAACTCTAAAACCTTAAAAAGCAGAGACTTCACCTTGCCGACAAAGATCCAGACAGTGGTACCTCGGGTTAAGGACTTAATTCGTTCCGGAGGTCCGTTCTTAACCTGAAACTGTTCTTAACCTGAAGCACCACTTTAGCTAATGGGGCCTCCTGCTGCCTGCCGTGCAATTTCTGTTCTCATCCCGAAGCAAAGTTCTTAACCCGAGGTATTATTTCTGGGTTAGCGGAGTCTGTAACCTGAAGCGTATGTAACCCGAGGTACCACTGTATAGTCAAAGCTCTGGTTTTCCCAGTAGTGATGTATGGAAGTGAGAGCTGGACCATAAAGAAGGCTGATCACCGGAGAATGGATCCTTTTGAATTCTGGTGCTGGAGGAGACTCTTGAGAGTCCCATGGACTGCAAGAAGATCAAACGCATCCATTCTTAAGGAAATCAGCCCTGAGTGCTCACTGGAAGGACAGATCCTGAAGCTGAGGCTCCAAGACTTTGGCCACCTCATGAGGAGAGAAGACACCCTGGAAAAGACCCTGATGTTGGGAAAGATGGAGGGCACAAGGAGAAGGGGATGACGGAGGACGAGATGGTGGGACAGTGTTCTCGAAGCCGCTTCTGGCGAACCAGAGCAGTGCACGGAAACGCCATTTAGCTTCCCGACGGAGCGGTGCCTATTTATCTACTTGCACTTTGACGTGCTTTCGAACTGCTAGGTTGGCAGGAGCAGGGACCGAGCAACGGGAGCTCAGCCCGTCACTGCGGGGATTCGAACCGCCGACCTTCTGATCGGCAAGCCCTAGACTCTCTGGTTTAGACCACAGTGCCACTCGCAAGCCTAACCCCTGTATAGGGAAGCCTTTTAACGTGTATTATTTTTTTTATATATTTGTGGGAAGCTACCTCTCAGAGCGGCTGATGTTTAGTCAGGATCTCCTTTTTCTGTAACTGGAAGCCAAGGGTTCGAGTCCTACCTTCGGGAGCAGGAGAAAACGAGCTCGTTCCACGTGACAGTCCTTCAGATGTTTGAAAACGGCTATCATATCTCTTTTTCTCCTTTGCGCCTGCCTGACAGGTAGAAATCCAACCGGCGAAGCTTTTAGCCCTTCTTTGCTTTTGAAAGCCAGGGCCAAACACTAACCCTGTTTGGCCAGCAGATGGAGATAGTGGACCACAATTGGACCTGCTGGCTTTAACTCTGTACAAGCTATATACCGTATTTTTTGCACCATAACACTCACTTTTTCCCTCCTAGAAAGTAAGGGGAAATGTCTGTGCGTGTTATGGAGTGAATGCCTACGGATGACGGGGGGATCTGCTGCAGTCGTGAGCAGAGGATCCATGGTTCCCCTTCCTTCCCTCCTCCGTGGCTCGCTTTGAAACAGCAAAGCGGGAGAAGAGCCGCTGAGTGGGGAGGAGAGAGGGACAGAGAGCCTGCTTCTTTAAAGGAGCAAAGCGGGAGAGGAGAGGAGCCGCTTACACGGGTCACCCCAAATTCACCAGCAGATCACATAGCATGTCCATGGCTACAGCTTGCACCAAAAAAATCACGCACCCACTGTTGCCTGGGGCCACAGTGGTGCAAAAACGTGGTTACAAAGCATGGATCCACATGGATCCTCAGGATTTTTGCATTGGGCTACCCCAAACTCACCGTCAGATCACATGTCTGTGGCCGCAGAATGAAGCACAAAAATCATACATCCACTGTTTCGTTTAGAATATTTTTTTTCTTGTTTTCCTCCTCTAAAAACTATGTGCATGTTATGGTCAGGTGCGGACAGAAGAGGCTTGCTTTGTAATGTAGTATTTCCCCTTTTCTTTTTAGAAGGCCGAAAAGCTCAGTTATTTGCATATAATAATTGCATATAATAATGCAAAACCAGAGACTTGCATATACAAAAGACACAAGAGGCTGCGAGACAGTTGAAAGCATAGCTTATTTAATTTTTATACATTTTTTTCTCATTTTTTGCAACTTTTTTCTTATTTTTTTTCACCCTTTTTCTTATTTTTTTCTCATTTTTTTTTTAAATTGTCCTTTTGGAATTTTATTTTTTTATTTTCCTTTTGCATAGGGGGTGGGAGAGAAAAGGAACGAAAACCAGAGCCGGCTTTCGGATTTTAAAATAAAAAACAAGGAAGAAAAGTGCATTGGCTAAAAAAACAACAACAAAAAAACAGTACGCGTATGACGAATGCTAGAATCAAATATTGTGAAAAGCACTGGAGAAAAGCAAGCCTGTGTGTGCATGTGAGTGAATGGGGATGCCATGGTGAGCACGGCTGAAATGAGGAGAGAGGGATGAATTGCAGTTTGCTGTGTTGACGGATCGAGATCTGAGTTGCAGCCGATTATTTCGTTCCCTCGGGTACGTCTACACTGTATAGCGACACCTCCACACAAACCCCAACCGCCCAACGAACCTCGGGAACTGTAGTTTAGCCGGGCGCCTGGGAACTGTGGGTTGACGATCCCTGCTTGCAGCATGACAGGGCCGGGCTCGAAAGTTCGTTGTGCTCAGAGTAGACCCCTTGAAGAACGAAAGGATGGGCTCGACACAAAGGGTTCCAGGCGCAACTTTCCAATACATCTACTCTGAGTCGGGTTCTGTGCAAGCCACCGTTCGCAGCAGAGAAAGGCCGGCCGCGAAACCAGTTTAAGGCTGCGGTGTAGAACAGGACACCCCTGAGGCCAGATCCATTTCCTCTTTGGCCGGGAAACGGTCTCAGTTTACTCTTCCCGGCGTGGACAACACTGCGAATACATGTGTTAACTTAGCAAGCAGCAAGCAAGAGAGTAAACTATTATTGCGACATCTGTAAAATATAAACGGCAGAAGTGTGTTTGCGCGTCACCGTCAGGAAACGAACTTCCGGTCAGATATACGGAAAAGAGGGGATCGGGGGAAATAAAAAATTGAAGGAAATGAGAATCGACGCCGGCTGGATCTTGGCCTGACTCTGAGAAACATTCTTGCCTCGGTTATCTCCCCACCCCACCCAATGTTCCCTTCCTCTTCCTCCTCCTCCTCTTCCAGACTACGCAATGACAACAGGAGACATGGACACAAAAGGATAAAACTTCACAAAAGGAAAAATGTGGCTTAAGGTCTTGGGGACGGCGACATCCCGGCTGTGCAGTGCTGTCGGAGAAAGCAGTACGGGCCGATAAATTGGTCAAGTCTTGTTTTCCTCTTAGTTTCTCACGTTCAATTTCAGCATCTGTTTGCTCTGGAAAAACCCGCAGAAAAATCCACTCACCTTAATAGACAGTGGTACCTCGGTTTATGAACGTAATCCGTTCCAGAAGTCCGTTCTTAAACCAAAACCGTTTTAAAACCGAGGCGCGCTTTCCCTAATGAGGCCTCCCACTGCCGGTGCCCTTCCACCGTTCGGATTCCGTTCTTAGACCGAGGTAAAGTTCTCAAACCAAGACACTATTTCTGGTTTTGCGGAGTCTGTAAACCAAATCGTTCTTGAACCGGACTGTTCTTTAACCGAGGTACCCCTGTAGTTGCTTTGTAGGTAATTTTGCCTCAACCATGCATTTTCCCCCTAATAGACAATTGATTGGAATATAGTGCATTATATCTACAGGATTTCCCCGGGATTCCAATGACGGAATTAGTAGCTCAACAACTTGAAATACGGCAATGTTTGCAGGGCGGCGTTTGCAGAACCGCACTGCAAAGTTTGCGGACGCTCGGATTTCGAAGGACCCCAGGATGTTGGGCTGATCGCATTGAAAAGCGAACCAAATTAATTCCCTTCCCTGTCCCTTCGACGGCTGCAAATCACATCCGTGTCAAATCGTTGTTTTATTTGTAGTCAAGGACAGTTAATAACTCTTTCATTTGTATAGGTGCGATTTCTGAGAATGCGTTTTGTGTAGTCAGCCATCTAGCTATATCTGATTGCATTTGATTCCTTCACTTACGGAAAGTTCTGCAAGTTTAAGTTTTCCTGAATCAGACCGAACTCGTAATAGGGGCGAGTGGGCGTGTCAACCAACTTAGCCCCGCCCACCTGGCTCCTCCCCCTCAATCAAGCCCCGCCCACTTGATCTACCCCTCGGCCAATCCTGACAGCACTGCATCAGCCAGGAGGGGAGTAGAATGAGGGGTGCCAAATCTCTCATTCCAGTATTGAATTTGGGCCTTTTCATACCAGTGTGTGTGGGGATAATAATATAGCAACGCAGATTTACAAGAGCAAAAATTACCCGGGGTAGATAGGTGATTAGGGATCAAGGAA